AAAATACTTTTATTAATACGTAACAAACAACTTTTTAAATTCTTTCAGAGAATGCAAATCTTTGACAAAAAAGAGCTTGAGATGAAGAAGTATGTCTATTACCATAACAACAAATTATAAACATTGTTTACATGAAAACTTAGCTAACTAGTACAGTATAATAAAGGTACAAAGATTTTAACAAACTATTATGATTTGACACAAATGAGGCTTTTTGCTCATTTACCAGTACCAGAAATTGTCTCTCAATTAATTTGCAATATAATTTAGAGACATGTTAACTTTTCTGTTCTATGGGTATTGTGTCAAGCTGCATTTGATAAAAAGAAATAGGGGGAAAAACCTTCAATGTATAATGGGCATCATTCTTGATCATTTATAAAAACACAAAATTGTACAAAATTATTATACGTACTTAAAGAATTTTTTTCTTATACTTTACCTTTCCCTAGCATTCTTACATCAACATCTTCTCGTCCTGATGAAGAAAAATGCTGTTCTGGAAAATATCGAAATTGAAGTACCATTATTACATGTACATTCAGAATTTGCTAGAGACCTATAGTAAAATTCATTTAGTACGAACATCGATATATTGAATTCATGGATATAACGAATTTTCTTGTGGTCCCCGGCCAAATTCTTTAAAATTCTTTGTAAAATTTTACAGTTATAAAGAACTCTGATATAACGATTTTATGGATATAGCGAACTGATTTTGAGTTCCGTAGAGGCTAAAATTAGTGAAATGTTTTTTTTGATAATACTCTTACAGATATCTGAGTATAACATACCGACCTGTAACAGGAACCAGATGTTAAATCTTTTATAACAAATTTTCAAACATCTTGAAATTTCATATATTGAACTGACTTTATTTTTAGTAAGTGTTTTTATATAAAATTTAATTCATTAAAAAAATAGTTATCCAAAATATGTCATGTAATAGTTTCTTCACTAACATATTTGGAAGTAAAACGTCAAGGAAAATGTGCATTTTGTGAATTCCCTATAAATAGTTATAAGAATTTGTATACATTGAATTACGGATATAGAATATTAAATTCACAGGTCCCAAGGACTTTGCTATAACAAAGTTTTACTGTATTGGTTACAAAGCTCGCTAGAATCAAAATCACATTTTTCTGATAGAAGAATATATCTGATTTTAACAATTTTGGTGTGCCTCAGTACATGACATATTCAATATTTTAAAACATATTTTACATTTTTTTTTACATAAAGTTAATATATGTATAGGGATTCACTCTGTAGTTTGATGGGTATGCCAGGTCATTACATGTAACTAAAAGTTGGAAACTTGGATTAATTTATGGGCTTCACTTTAATTGATGCTTGAATTTAGTTATAGATTTGAAATATATTTATCATACGAGTAAGATATAGAATATTTACAAAGCTTGGCAACTTTACAATGTTTAATTGGTTGACACTTGAAAACAAGCTATAGGTATATTTTTTCTATATTTCATAGTAATAATTTTTGACCCTGATGAACTAGCTAACACTAATCAAATATTTCCATTTCTAATTCTTCTCTCTGTGATAACTTTAAAAAGTTAGTGGAGTTAATTCCTTGATAATTCTACCGGAATGTAAATTAGGCAGGTCAATGGGTCAGAAGATAAGAAGGCATAATATGCGTGCAAAGCTCGTGAGCATCTGTCTCTGAGTCTTACGCTAAGGAGGCAAAATATGCATGAAAATCTTGGTGGCTGCAGTTGTGTTTGACGTCAGTGGGCGAGGACTATATTGAAATTGGGATGGGAATCCTCGTGTAATTTAAATCTATGTCTGCATTGTAAAGTCTAAATTTACAATTTTATTTTCACAATGAAATGGAAATATAAGGAATCACTGTCTACTTAGTATATCGTGTGCCAGGGACATCAACAATGCCCTGGCATACTATACTAACTAGACAGTGATTCCTTAAGGAAATTGTCTTAATAATCCACAAGAAATTAATAGTGAGTATTAGTAGTACTTTGCAACCAATAATAAAAAGTGCACATGTATATATCATGTTAGCAGGGTACATATTCAAAGAGTGACTCGTGAAACTAAAATTCCCATGTAAACCAGGCAATATAAACACCTTACAACAGGTAGATAACACAGGTATGGAGATCACATGATCTCTGACTACAGGTAGATAACACAGGTAATCACATGATCATGTGACTACATAGAGAGGATCAGTGAGTTGACAGAGAACGCCACTACTGTCTAAAACCAGGTAATAATTATGGATTTAAAAACAGATAAACTTATATGCATAGTATTTTACAATTACATATTTTCATCTTTAAAAATACTTTGAATCAGCAGAATTTCTCAAGAAAAGGGGATTATTTTTTTCACTTTGTATTTTCTTTTTAAATTCACAGTGCATTTATTTTTGAAAATACGAAAACATCAGTCTATTTTGTAAAGTTTTTGGCTTACAATCATTACTTAAAGGCTTTTCACAAAAGCTGAACTCTTTCAGAAAAGTAGTTCAATGACCTAGTCACTCTTTCTTTTGTTTTGTTATTAAGGAAGTAATTATACAATAAACACCCTAATCACAAGTTACAGGTACTATAGTCTGTTCCACATGAGACAAACATACATGTACGTATATTTACATTACACGTGTTTCCTGCATATAAAGTATTTGGAAAACTGTTGCATTCGAAACGCCATAAAACGGACTGGGTGCCAAAAGGTTAATTAAGGCATGCGTTTTAGTTTGACATCACAATTGTTTAACGCCGTGTAACGGGTTATTTTAACTGTTGTCAATTTTTACGAATTTTGGCTAAAATATGGTGATTTATTGGTGTGTGCAAACAAATTGAGTAACATGCTTGTGTGCATTTCTTAATTTGCCTCTGCACACTTTTGCAGTTATGAGACTATATCTTTCAAAAGATAAAGATTCGTTACCACGTTACTCAATTTGTTTGCACACACCGTTGCGATTATGAGACAATATCTTTGAAAAAATAATGATTTATTGCTTGAATATTATAAAACACTTACAAACCTGCTGCTTTAGCCAGATTGTATATAATTATACAGCTTGAAACAAACAAGTATGACATTATTTTTCAAAGTCTTTGGACATGATCAGTGTAAATTACTGATTACCAGTACATGATTCTGAACATGTACTACATTTCCTTTGCTGGTTATTGACTACAAGCAATGGAGAATGATGATGAATCCTTTTCTAAAGCGACAGTCACTTTTACTATATACTACTACTACTATACTAATACTATATTAAATTTCAGTCAACTTAGCATTGCCATCATGTTAATTAATATATTTATTGAATCCAAAGAATGATTGAGAAGAAAAATGATCTATTGAATGAATCTATTTTGAAATCGAAGGTAGTTACGTTTTTTTAGACTTACCTGTAATACAGAAAGTGATGCTCTCAGTTACGAAAGCCCAGAAGGCTCATTCGAGATTCAAGTTTCGAAATACGAGATTCAAAATTCGAGATTCGAAATTCGAGTTTCGAGATTCAAGATCCAGATTAATCAATCAAAAGGCTCATTCGAGATTCGAAATACGAGATTCGAAATTCGAGTTTCGAGAATCAAAATCCAGATTAACCAATCAAATGCGGGTTCAACATTGATTACTCCCCTTTATTATGTTTAATCTATCAATAAATCGTTTAATATATTTATAACAAATGAGTCATTTGATTAAATTACAATGCAAGAAAGAGTGTTATATATATTAGAAGGAAAGTTAAATAATCATTTAATTTTTGATCAGCAAGATATACTTCAATTTATATTATGACTTCTTAAATGTTAAATAGAATACATATATCAGGAATATATATATTTTTGCATTGTCTACTTTATATAAAGGGTTGTTGACATAATAATAAAGTTATAAATAGTGACAAAAGATTAACAAAATCCTTGTAGCCTTGATAAATAAAAACCGAGTATATTTTAGTCTTTGACCATAACGCTATGGTCAGAGACTAAAATATAAAACCATAACGCTATAGTTCTGCAGCTAATTTAGACTAATCTACTGTTTAATATCAGATAAAATGAATGCTGCATTTATTCTAATTCATATTTGCAATCTGTATTGTATATATAATTGTTTTAACTTAGTTCAAGAAATCAAAGCCTTAGATGAAGATAAGTAATTAAAAGCTTTATTTTAATGTATTCCCTTTATTAGGAAAACTAGCGCGGTTTTTATTTATCAAGGCTACATTGCCTTTCAAATTTTTAAAGTAACATTTTCAGTGTCGTAAAAAATATGCAGGTGTTGCGGGTAGGGGTGGGGATTTTGTTAATCTTTAGACACTATTTATAACTGTATTATTATGTCAGCAACACTTTATATACAGTAGACAATGCAAAAATATATATATTCCTGAAATATGTATTCTATTTAATATTTAAGAAGTCATAATATAAATTGAAGTATATCTTGCTGATTAAAAATCCAATGATTATTTAACTTTCCTTCTAATATATATAATACTCTTTCTTGCATTGTAATATAATCAAATGACTCATTTGTTATAAATATATTAAACGATTTATTGATAGATAAAACATAATAAAGGGGAGTAATCAAATGTTGAACCCGCATTTGATTGGTTAATCTGGATTTTGAATCTCGAAACTCGAATTTCGAATCTCGTATTTCGAACCTCGAATCTCGAATGAGCATTTTGATTGGTTAATCTGGATCTTGAATCTCGAAACTCGAATTTCGAATCTCGAATTTTGAATCTCGTATTTCGAAACTTGAATCTCGAATGAGCCTTCTGGGCTTTCGTACTCAGTACCAATGGACAGACTATACATTTAATTTACCAATTAATTGCTGGATTAGCTAAAATTAATAAGGCTGCCATTTTTCTCAGCTACTATGCTGGTACTTTAAGCAATTACAAATACTGTATATTTTTAACTCTATCTTTCAGAGTCACAATCTTAATAATGGACCCCCGTACCAGAGCCCAGGATGTGATGCGATGTGACCTGTGTGAGACCGCTATGGTAAAGATACACTGTGATACATGTCTTGTCAATCTGTGTACAGCTTGTGTAGGAATACACTTCTCTGCTGATTTTGCAAAACCTCATAAAATTGTTGATTTCAAGGACAGAAAATCTACCCCTCTCTATCCTGGATGTAAATTGCATAAAAAACAGCAATGTACAATGTACTGTAATCAATGTGACATTCCTGTCTGCACTAAATGCATTGCATCGGATCAGCATAGAGGTCATAAGGTATCAGAAATCTTACAAGTTGTGGACGAGAAAAAAGAAAAGATTATCAAAGAACAAACTGAACGACATGAAATAATTTATCCAACCTATCAGGACATTGCATCTGATGTAGAAAACAGAATGAGTCAGTTAGAAAAGGAATATGGAGATCTCTCAACGGCCATAACAAAACATGGAGAAGACTGGCACAGAGAAATTGACAAACTTGTCCAGAAACTTAAAACTGAAGTTGACGAGATGAAAAACACACAGTTACAAAATCTACAGAAACATCTGGATGAAATAAATAAGAATATTTCTAACATTAGGGATGAAATCAATTCAATTGATTTTGCTTATGATTCTAACAACATTTCAAAACTGTTTAATATTACAATCAATGTAGAGAGATATAAAAATCTTCCACAACAAATTCTGCCACCTTTACCTAAATTTTCCACAGGCAGAATTAATGAAGATCTTGGTAAAATATTTGGAACCTTGTGATTGAGATCTTTAGCTTCAGATAAACATGGATGCAGCATGAAGACAACACAGAAATCACCAGAAGCTAGATCCTCTCCTCCGGTCAGACAGCTGCTTGATCAACCAGAGACTGTCACCACCATAAACATTGGGTATGAATTCCTTTTTAATGTGGTCTGTCTAAGTGATGAAGAAATATGGACAAAAGGAGTTGGCAACACCATGAAACTCTACAGCATCAATCAGGGATCACTGCTCAAGTCAATCACAACAAAGTCAGGATATGAGCCATGTGACATAGCAGTGACAAAAAGTGGAGATCTAGTTTATACTGATCCCTTGAAAAGAACTTTGAACATTGTGAAGAATGAGAAGATAGAGGAGGTGATCAGACTACAGAACTGGAGACCTATGGGTGTCTGTAGTACCTCCTCTGGTGATCGCCTAGTTATCGTGGAAAGTATTGATTACATGCAAACAAAAGTCGTCCGTTACTACGGTTCCACAGAGAAACAAACCATTCAGTCTGATGATAAAGGTAAACCTCTCTATTCATCTGGTTTTTGTAATATCACTGAGAACAGGAACCTTGATATCTGTGTGTCTGACCCTGAAGCTAAAGCAGTAGTGGTGGTCAATCAGGTCGGGAAATTGAGATTCAAGTACACTGGACATACTCCTGCTCCAAAGAATGAACAATTCTATCCACAAGGAATCACCACAGACATTCAAAGTCACATCCTTACGGCTGATAATAGCAATAAGTGTGTCCACATCATAGACCAGGATGGACAGTTCCTCCGTTACATAGACTGTGGACTGGGTGATCCCTGGGGACTGTGTACAGATACAAATGACAATCTGTTTGTTGCTCAACTTAGGAAACAAAAAGTGAAGAAAATCAAATATCTCCGCTGAAAACCTACTTCTACTAAATACAAGTAAAATTCTAGCATGTGTGTGCATCTTAAAATTATTCATAACTCCGTTATACCAATATTGTAATACAACGATACTTGTATTATAATATCATCAATGTCATATCCATGTTTTATTAAATAAACATGTATGTCTCAAGAATTTATAAATGTTTACAATTTACTGATGTTAATAGAGCTGAATAGGGATTTATTGTATGAAAACTACAAAAGAAAAACTTTTTTTTTAATTTCATAAAGTATGCAGTATCACATGGAGTTCAGTGTATCATCAGGAGTTTTGACATATTGCTATAGATACAAATATTTCAAAGTATATTGTGACGTCGTGTAACGTCAAAAATGTTGCGCTTTAGAACAGTTCATTGTGATGTCATCACGTTACGTTCTTGACAAATAATGCGGGAAAATTGTAAATTGTCTACTATGACAGGGCATTTAGCTTTGGTTGAAACAATAAAAAAAATGGCCTAATGGCCGACCAAAGCTTTTCCTTGGTTTCAAGTTCTTTTTCGGAAGTCTTGTTGTAGAACTTGTATATAGGAAACACTGTAAAATTAGGAAAAATGGTTTCAGCTGATATGTCCGCTCACGGCAGTGCACTGGTATTCAGTTTGACGATGCCGTCTTTGTAGCCTGGTCAGTTCTCTGTTTTTTATTCATAAATGAACTTTTTTCTAGTAAACTTAGCCTTCTTTGTAAAATAAATTCAGTATTTATTGACCCCATATACAAACCTAATGATTATATTTGACACATGTCAGAATCTCATGATCTTAAAAATATGCCTGTAAAACAATTTAAGTGGCTTGACCTTGGTTTATAATCACTTGCAGAAAAGATGAAACTCCTGTGGAATCATCCTTTGGTAGTGTAGATTCAAGTTTGTTCAAATCAAGACCCCTGGGGGTAGGGTGGGGCCTAATGGCCGACCAAAGTTTTACATAGAAATATATAGGAAAATTCTTTAAAAATCATTTTCTAAAAAATAGCAAATCCATCATTTGTCATGGGACTTCTTTGGATTTAAACTTTACAATAAAAACCATTTTCTACTTTTTCCTAGCCTTTGTGCTCAGGTGAGCGATGTGGCCCATGGGCCTCTTGTTAAAAAATCTTCTTCTCAAGAACCACTGGGCTAGGAAAGATGAAACTCATGTGGAATCATCCTCAGGCAGTGTAGATTCAAGTTTCTTCAAATCATTTTTAAGGAATTTTCCTATATATTTCTATGTAAAACTTTGGTCGGCAATTTTGGCCCCGCCCTACCCCCGGGAGTCATGATTTGAACAAAGTTGAATCTACACTACCCGAGGATGTTTCTCCATAAGTTTCATCTTTCCTGGCACAGTGGTTCTTGAGAAGATTTTTTAAAATATGCCACCAAATTTTCAGTTATTCCCAATTATCTCCCCTTGAATGAGGGTGAGGCCCTTCATTAAACTTGAATCCCCTTCACCCAAGGATGCTTTGTGGCAAGTTTGGTTGAAATTGGCCCAGCGGTTCTTGAGAAAAAGTCGAAAATGTGAAAAGTTTACAGGCAGACAGACAGACGGACGCCGGCCAAAATGTGATCAGAAAAGCTCACTTGAGCTTTCAGCTCAGGTGAGCTAAAAATGCTATTAATTTTTCTCTAATTCATAATTATCTCCCCTTGGAAAAGGGCGTGGCCCTTCATTTGAACAAACTTGAATCCCCTTTACCCAAGGATACTTTGTAGCAAGTTTGGTTGAAATCGGCCCAGTGGTTCTTGAGAAGAAGATGAAAATGTGAAAAGTTTACAACAACAATGACAACGACAACGACAGACGACGGACAAATTTTGATTAGAAGAGTTCACTTGAGCCTTCGGCTCAGGTGAGCTTAAAATGTTGATGCAGTTGCACAGCTCTCATCAATATCTATCAGCATATGAAGTTTGATGAAAATATCTTGAACAGTTTCTTTGAAACTTAGCTTTGAACAGAGCTAAATGCAAAGTGTGACGGAAGGACGGAAGACGGACATGACAAACACTATATGCCTCAGCCATAATCAAGGCGGGGCTTAATAAAAATTTCCTATGTTCCTGATGTCCTATGACATTTGCATTTTGTTTCGATTTAAAGAATCTAGACATACCAACAACTCTCATTTTATCCTTACATATAAAACGTACAAGGATACGGGCCGGTGTCGCATAATATTTGGTCCGCCTCGTTTAAAGTTCCGGCCGGACCTAATACGATAATATATTTGGTCCGCCTGGCTCTATAAGAAAAGGTCCCCCCTCGGTCTATTTTACAAATTGTATGCGTGTGTTCATTCGATATTAATTGAAAAACTATTGTTTTAAAATTAATTGGGGATATAAAGTGGTATTAATAGCAAGTGTTTCCTCCAAGATAAAGTAGTAAACAACAAGTAAGAAATTAATACATTGTATACTTATAAATAAAGGAATGTACATATAGATGTATTGATCGTGTTTCCTGTCGGGAAGATGGGACATGCTTATTTTGTCGTTTAAATACACTAATGTCAACATCATTAAAAAAATATATTAAATGTTCATACATTTACCTTCACCGTCTGTTTACTAGTAGATTAATCAGTATGCAATGAACAGATGAATGTTCGTTAGTCCAACACAGATCATTTAGTTACACCTCTTTCCAATAAACATGATAAATGTCTGACTTCACTCGCAAAAAAATCACATCTTTCAAAATATATTTCTTGATGATATTAATAAAAAAATCTGTCATTCTTTACGTTTAATATTGTTGTCAATAACTGGAAGGTCACTGTGACAGGGGATTATGTCACGGTGTACTACCCTACACCGTTATTGTAAAAACAACATGCCTACGGATTGGCAGTTGGGGGTTAGCCTATAATTGTCGTTTAAGAAAACCTAAAGTACCACATCCCATGTGTTTTTATAAGTTAACACTGTTTCTTACCTATTCAAAGGCTAATTACTATATCTATTAGATCTTTGCATTTCATTTCCTGAATTTTGCATTGCATTTTCCGACAATTTTTGTTATTATTTCGGAATCTTACATTTTTATTTTCATTTCCGACATTATTTAGCCCCCCCCCCCCACATTTTGGTTTTTTTTTTTTAAAAGAGATACCTTTATGGCAATTTAAGATTATACATATATAATAAAGATGGAAATGGATTTTTAACAGGGTATTGTATATATGTATTATATAATATTATTTATTTTAAATCACAATTTTTTGAATTTAATCATTACATACACTCTGTATGCAATATTATGTCTAGTTATAAGAAAAGGAAAGTTCACAATACCTACATCTGCTCCAGGGTAAAATCAATTAAATTTCTTGACAGCTTTAAGCAAAGCCTTTTATATTTAAAATATTTTCTTTGAATATCTAAAATATTTTACTTTAAGAATTTTTATAACGGAAGTATGAATTTTTTTTTTCATTGCCGAAAAAATACTGACATGAATTTGACAAATGTCGGAGATTAAAACTTTAAAAATGTAAAAACTGTCGAAAATGAAAAATTCATTTTTTTTTTTTTTTTTTTTTTTTGGAAAATTCTGAAAATGAAATGCGGCCTGTTTACTAAATATTACTCCGGGACAAGGTAAATGTGCATTAATTGGTGAAATTAAACCAAAGTCGATAAATTGCTGGATTTATAAATGCCTTTATCATTCATATTTAATATATACATGTTGCTCATATAAAATCTCTTTGCACTGCATGTATAGGTTACATCATAGAAGCCGAGTAGTATTGTTTATATCGTTTTCATGGGGCGTGGAAATCGAGGGCGCGGAGCGCCCTCGATTTCCACGCCCCATGAAAACGATATAATCAATACTACTCGGCATCTATGATGTAAGCAACTTGTCGCATGTCTGATGACGTAAATTTCATTGAGAGTGTCAAAATTCAAGAATAACAAAAAGATTCATTTCAAGCTAGCTCTCCAACATGTCGGACGTTCTTAGTGAATTTGACTTTGAGTTTTTAACTGAGTTTTAAGATTTTGACAATTTATTTTTGAGCCAGGCACTCGACAGATATGAAATCACAGAAACAAATGAAATAGCAAGGAGTTTAACGATAAAAAGTTTGGAGATTTTACCGTAAGTTTCAAATTTTCAAAATGGATTAATCTTTTGAACGACTGGGAACTTTAGACCGAGTTAAATACATGTATTTTAATTTAGTTAAAGACTAAGAAATAGCTATACATGTTCATTTTTCTGTGGTTATGAACTTGTGAAATAAAATCAGTTTTTTTTCTCATGACCTGATTTCTGCCTCCTGCAGTGATATATGAAGGGGCGTGGAAAGTATTATCGCATATGTGATATGGGATATATCACCACAGAAAGATCAAAGAAAATCACCGCAGATATGCGACAAAAATAATATACTTACACTGATGTCCCTTGGACACGAAGAATATCGGTATTGTACATATATATCCCACATTTTTTTTCCAGAGAAAAGAGCAACGGGGGGGGGGGGTGGCCCCTGCCCCCTCCCAACTTTTTATCCCAACTTTACTTCTTATATTGGAAATGTTCATTGAAAGGCTTGTTGCCCCCCCAACCCCCAACCCCCAGCCCCACTTTATACTAGAGGTAATTGGTATGGTTTGTTCCCATCTCGCCTTAACTGTAAAATTTAGCATTCCCATTTCGCTTTAGTAAGCTCTCGGGTGAATTAAGGTGATGAAGATTTAACATGTTATATAGCATAAAGTATTTTTTGGTATTTCACGTATTATTTTATTCACAGTATTCATAAATTTCTATTAATTGTTAAATCCAATCTAAAAATTTTTATCATTTACAGTTTTAAGTCAACTTAGTAGTAATATTTACAAATACACTGTACTAAACTTTTTAACTTTTTTTTTACCTGTGTTTCACAATCAAGGCGAAATAAGAACACACCATTGACATCATTGAAATGTAGTATTGGATGCAAAAAATTGGT